ACGTACGTACGTACGTACGTACGTACTACTACGTCTCTCTCTCTCTCTCTCTCTCTCTCTCTCTCTCTCTCTCTCTCTCTCTCTCTCTCTCTCTCTCTCTCTCTCTCTCTCTCTCTCTCTCTCGCTTTTCCTGAACTCCCAGCGTTACAAAGAAGGGTACTGAGCATCGTATTTTATACGCGACGAGATATAATTAACCCCGCGACGCTCTATGAGATCGTTATTAATAGCTTCCTTACTTCCTGTACAGGGCTTCTTCAGAAGGAGTATACAGAAGCAGATAGAGTACAGGTGCTTGAGGGACGGCAAGTGTCTCGTCATCAGATTAAATCGGAACCGTTGTCAGTACTGCAGATTCAAGAAGTGCCTAGCCGTCGGCATGTCCAGAGACTGTAAGTATCGCGTTCGCGCGAGTGTTTAACCGTATTTACAGCATCGTCCGATTCGTTGGGAAATTTTCAAATTAACATTGAGAAAATGTTGAACAATGTTATTAAATATTAATAATTCCTTGCATAAATTTGTAAAAATTGAACTAATATTATGTATCTTTAAAGATATATTTAATCTTTTTTTTTTATTTAATTTCATTATTTTACACGAGGAGAAATGTATTTATTAATCAAACAATGGAATATATTTATTAATTAAACGATAGAATTTATTAATGAAATAATTCCAGAGATTTATGAAATTAATCAGTTATTTCGAGAATTTTAAATAATTATTAAGAACATATTATTTTAGAAATTATTTATATTTTTCTTTATATGTTTTATCTATTCTCGTTCTTCCTTTTTTTATTACAAGTTAAAAAGTTTTATAGAACGTTATAAATATTCGATTGACGAGCAATAATACATTTATGTACGTTAAAAGGAATTCTTTGGAACGAGTAAACGGTTGAAAAACACCTAAGCGAAACTCTACATAATAATTCATATTTATGTTCGAGTACGATCTATCGACGAAACGACTTTGACTTTCTCGCGCGTATATCAAAACGAGCTTGTGAACTCTCGGCGCCATTAGAAATTCAAACAAGATCTTACAAATCGTGCTTCTGACCGTCAGTGATGTAAAATCTACTTGCCGCTCACTTCGAGAGAGCGAAGTAAACCAAAGGGCAGACGTGTACATAATTAAACGTTAGAGTTTCAAGATGTGATACTGATTTACGTACGATATTTGCGAGCGCTGCTTCTTCATCGCCTCGCATGTGTCGCGAACAAAATTAAAATAAACTCATGATAGACTCACCAAATTCTAGACCGAAACGCAATGAGATAATTTTTACCGAAATTTGTAAAACTTTATTTTTAGAAATATTTTAAATTAAAACACCTTAATTGCGTCGCTTAAATCAATGATACGTGAAATTAAAATTTATTTAAAATTAAAGAATAACGTGAATGTGTTTATTGTTCCTCTTAGGGTTATAAGTTTATAAACTCTTGCCATACATTTTGTCCTTACATCTACGTATCAGCCTTATTCTACACTTATTCTAGACTTATTCTATCCTTATCTTAACTTAAACCTATCCGCCTTTGGAGTAGGAGCATGAGCCTTAAATGCTCACCCTCCTCCTCCTCTAATCTTACACACACACACCCTCGCTATTGGGACTTCTGTTTCCATTGCTTTTCCATACATCTCTTTTATCTTATTAATTCGCCCCTTCTCTCATTCTCTCTCTCTCCCTCCCTCCCTCCTCCTTTCTCTCATGCATCTCTTTCTCATTCACCCACTTTCTCTTCCTCCCCCATACCTCTCTCCCCTTCTTTCTTCCCTTTTCTCTCTCTCTATCTCTCTCATCCATCGTTCCCCTTCTCCCTCCTCACCTAGTACCCAGCCTATCGCCTTCTGCCAACTTCCCCCTCCCTCCTTCCACTTTCTACACTTCTCCCATACGTGTTTCCATGTTTCTCTCTCTCCTCCACAGTCTGCACTTCTTTTTCTCCTCCTCCTTCCAGTACCTTCCCTCCCTTACTTTATTTCCCAACCTAAATCTTGCCACTCTTTTCCATCTGCTTTTCCCTATTTTTTTTTAAGTATCCTGGTATCCTTTCCCCTTTTACTTCCTTATACTATCTGCTAAACCTCGATTCGTTTATCCTTTCCCATCTTTCCTTTCTCTGTCACTCCTTGTCCTTCCTCTCTAATTCACCATACCATGCCTCTCCCTTTTCTTTCTTCCTTTCCACCTCCTCAATTGTTATCTCCCTCTCTTCGAAGAACTTCTTTCTTTCTTCCTCCCATTTTGACCTCACTCTTCCTCACTGTTCCTCTGTATTAAGTACCCTAAATATTTGATTTCTTTCACCTCCTCAATTGCCTTCCCTTTCCCTCTCCATACCTTTTTTTTTTCCATTTCCCTCCCCTCTTCCTAAACCTCATGATTTTTGTTTTTTCGGTGTTCAGTTCCAATTTCTTTCTCTCTAGGTATCTCCAATCTTTCCATCATGCCTCTCATCTCCTCCTCTTCTTCTGCCATCAGTACCATGTCGTCCGCGTACGCCAATGAGTATACCCTGCGCCCTCTTAGTTTTACTACCCCCTATTTCACCTTTCCCATTTTCTCCTCTAAATCAACTAGCATTATGTTGAAAATTAATGGGCTCAATGGGCATCCCTGCCTCACTTCTCTCGCCGTCCAAAAGTTCTCTCCCATCTCCCCTCCTATTCTTACTTTGCTTTTTATCTCTCTCAACACCTCTTCTAACCTCTTCACCAGCCCTTTACCCCTCTCTCTCTCATTGCCCCCACCAATACTCTCCTATCCACAGAGTCGAACGTTGCCTTTAAGTCTATAAATAATGCCGTCATTTTCCCTTTTTTTTTACCCAACTGTCTGTTCACCAAATAATTCAGTACATAAATGTTGTCCAATATCCCCATCCCTTTCCTGAAACCTGTATGATTTTGCGGCACTATCCCCCTTTCTTTCACTTCCCTCCTCAGCCCCTCTGCCAACGTTATCGCATATATTTTATAGCATGATGACATTAATGTCACCCCTCTATAATCTTTCACTTTTTCTCCATCTCCCTTTTTCACAATTGGCATCACTACTTCCTCCTTCCAGCTCTCCGGCCATCCCTCCCTTCTCCACACCCTGTTACACCAACTCCAGATCTACTCCTCTACTTCCTCCCCTTAATTTTTCCAAGTTTCTCCTGGTATCTCATCTGTCCCCATCGCCTTCCCATTTCTTAACCTCTTTATTGCCTCCTTTATTTTTTTCCTGCTGATCTTTTTCTCCTCCCCTCCCTCTTCTCTTTTTTTTTCTCCCTCCTTTACTACTTTCCTTTCAGCCCTCCCCCCCCCCTCAATAGCCTCATAAAGTACTCCTTCCATTCCTCCATTCCTATCCCATCATTTATCCTTACTCTTCTTTTCTTCTCTCTATTTATTATTTCCTATACTTCATTCTTTCTTTTTACTTCCCTTGCTCTTTTTTCCCACTTTTCATTTTCCTCCTTCCTTTTTCTTTCACATGTTTCGTTATATTCTTTTTTTTTCTCTTTGTACTCCTTCCCTTCTCCTCCTTTTTTTCTCCATTCTCTTAGTTCCCTTTTTACCTCTTTCTTCTTCTTCTCACATTCTCTGTTCCACCATCCTCTCTTTCTCCCCTTCTCTTTCCCGAAGTCCCGCTCTACTTTCTTTATCTACTATCCTTTCTTTTTCATCTTTCTCTCCATCCCTTCTCATTTTATTCTTATTTCTTTCTCTCTTAATTTTATCCCTTCCATCTTTTGTTTGAACTCGTTACACCCTTCCTCATTTTATACTCCTCTTCATGTTCTTTCCTCTCCCCTACTCCCGCTTCTCTTTCTTTTTTATCTTTGTCTTTTCCCCTTTACCCATATCTCCATTGGCTGGTGGTCTGAGTCTATATTGTCCCCTATCTTTAACCTTTTTGTCTTTCCCTCGTATCCTCATCTGCTATTACGTAATCTATCACAGTATTCCCTTTTCCCCCTGTAAACGTGTACTTCTCCTCTGTGCATCCGTTCAGTATTCCCCACTCTCTTTCCTTTAGGAACTCCACCATCACTCTCCCCTCTCTATTCATCTTCCCATCCTTTGATTTTCTTCTTTTTCCCTTCCCCTTCTCTATTACATCTTCTCCTCTACCCACTGTTCCATGCTCTGTAACATCTGCTTTATATTCCTATTAACGTATAATCCCACCACTCTCTATTTCTGTTTTCCCTTTCTTACCCTTTTAACTATCAACCCTTCTCTTTTCGTTTCTATTTTTCTCCCTTTTTCTATCATCTCTTTTTTTTATCCCCGTTATCATTTCATCGTTCTTCTTTTTTTATTCTTCTTCTCCGCTACTTGCACTCTCCATTCGTATCCTCTTGGTAATTTTTCTTTCGCACTCCTTAATTTTTTTTTATTCATCCATGTTTCTATTAGCACCATTACATCCCAATTCTTTAGACTCTCCCAAAATTCTTTATCTTTATTTCCCACTCCTGCCACATTCCAGAAACCCATTTTCCATTCCTTCTCTTTCACTTCCTCCCGCTTTACCTTTTTATCCTTTTCCTTCTTTTCTATCCTGTGCCCCCCTCTTTCTCCATCCCCCCTTTTCCCTCCGTCCTCCTACTTTTACGTTACCTTTTCCATTTTCTAACACCTCCTTCTTCTCATCCCACTTCCACCGCTGTCCATTTATTCTTATTTTTCCATATCCTACCCATATATTTTTCCCCTTCCTTTCCTCTTCCCGGGCCATCTCCAATTTCCATCTCATTCTCCTTTCCTTCTATGTCCAGTCCTCTACTATCCTTTCCTTTCCACCCTTAAGCATCTTTTTCTTCTCCCATATCTCCTTTTTTTTCCTCATTCTCTTTTCTTATCCCCACTATCTCTCTTCCTTTCTTTCTGTCCTCTGCTATCCTTCATGTCTTCTATTTTTTTATCTTTACCTTCGCTCCTATGTTCTTCATTAATCCCTCTACCGCTTCTTTCTTTTTCCCTTCCGTCACCTCTATTCTTTTTATTATCAGATTCCTTCTCCTCTCCTCCCTCTCTTTCCTTTTCATTTTCCCTTCTATCTCTTTCACTCTTATTACCATTTTTCCTCCTCTCTTTCTTTTTTTCTTTTCCTTTCCCTCTTTTCCTCTCTGTCTCTCTTTATCTCCTTTATTCTTCTTTCCAATCCCTTTATATACCTTTTCATTTCCTCTCTCTCCTCCTTTCATCCCTCCTCCCTATCTCTAATCTCCTTCATTTTCTTCCTTATATCTTTTATTCCCTCCTTTATTTTCTCTTTCATCTGTCTCATTTCCTCTTTCCAATTCTCCAACCTCATCCTCATTACCTCCTTCATCACCCCCTTCATCTCCCCTTTCCATTTTTTCATCTCCTTCTCTCTCTTCTCCATCCCCCTTTGCTCCCCTTCTTTCTTTTCCTCCTTTTTTCCGGTGATCTCGTTGTTTTCTTACTTTTGATAAAGATCTCTTTTTCCTCCTCTTCCCTTTTTTCCCATGCCTGCCTCTCTTCTTCTTTCACATCTTCTCTATACACCCATGATTTCCACATCTTACTCTCCCCCTTCTCGCTTCTCATATTCCTTCTGCCATTTCCAATTTCCTCTCCATCTCGCTTTGTTGCCACCAGTCCCCAACTCCTAATACCTTCTATGTTCTATATGATCTTTGCTCTCTACCTAATCCCGTTTGTGCCCGTCTCTATGTCTTATATTCTATGCATATCTATTCATCGTCTTTTCCCCTTCCCTCTGTTCCACCCTGCATTCCCTTCACTCACACATACTCACTTTCACCCCTCTTTCTGCTCTGCTCTCGTTTCTCAACTCCGAATTTGCTCTATTCCACGTGTCACATTCTATCGCACCGAAAACAGAAGTTCTAAAGAATAACGTTTTGTTGATATCTCTGAAGCGAAATTTGCCAAGAAATTCCTTTTCCTGAGTTTGAAAACAATTAGTGTTTCGACATTTCCGCGAAGAAAGAAGTGTTTTAACAAGGAAAATTGTTGCATACGTTAAATGTGCTAATTATAGGGGATATGTTGTATGTAAACTCCGGCAAATAAAGCCTGCTTATGGCTTCCGTTTCTCA